AAGGCCCACGTCTATTATTTTTATAGTCTGTGGCTTTCATTGGTGGGTCATTCGCTCAGTCACCAGTGTGTTGCTTCATTCAGCAGCAAATACATTTATTTAAATTAAAAATCTTGGCCGTTATTACTTTAAAGACTGATGATATGTATAATGGTTGCAACATATTGTTTTAGGAAAGCAAAATATAGTTTTCACGCTCCATAATGTTGCAAGTAAGGTCATGTTTAAACATAAAGCTGCTGGTTTTATTGGAGTGTTCAAATTTAAAATGTCATAACACAGACTGACAGATTTGTTGCATGGATATCCAAAAAAAGACCAACAAGTGCAATCACTTATTGAAAGAATCTTGTTTGCCGTTTGTCATGAGTGTGTTAATGGTGGCTCAAACTGGAGTAAAACCAGTGTCCTGCATGTAAACAAAGCCAGTGTTTCCTGTGAGCTTCCTGATAAACTACAGTCTTCTCCAGAGCAGCACCAGATCCATTATTAATTAAGTGCCTTGCTCAAGGGCACCATCATTAAGCTCAAGGCAGACAGGTGTTGCTCTTTTCTCTTGTCCATCCAGTTTCTCTCTCAGCTGGTCCAGACGTCCACTTCTCTAAAACTCTCGTTGCCAATCCACGTCGACCAGTTCGGACTGCTTTGTGACAAATAGCTTTATAAGGAGAGCGGCGTCTCTCTGCAGAGTGTGTGAGGTGTTTCCTGTTTCTAAGGTTACAGAGTGATGACTGACAATCTTTGACTGACTTGATATCTGATTTCTTCATGAGACTTACTTGTGTATCCTATTTTTCATTTTGTATTTTTACTCTAAGGAGCCTCTGGTTGTCTTTGACGCTCCTTAATGTATGATACAATTCTGTTACTCTTGAATTTATATTTATACAGATATACATATTTTTTGTATCTTTTTCCCCTTTTTTTCAATTTCCCCTGTGCTAATGGTCAGAAACCCATGTCTACGCAGTATTATAGATAATGTAATGTGGACAGCTATCTCTTTTTTTACATTTATGTATGAACTGAGAATTTGTAAAAATGCTTTCACAGTCCTTGTGTGTAAAATGTATGTATAAATTAAATTAACCAACTTGGACTCGTGTTTTATTGCAGTGCATCAATGTGTGAAAGAAAGGTGATTTATTAACTTTTAACTAACTTTTTAACTTTATTAATTTTCTGATGTATCACATGTTGAATGAGGGTTTTTTCATCTACCTGTAATAAAACTGGGCTCATGAGCAAAAGTCAGTTCTATCACACAACATGTACATTAAATGATTACGTTGTTACTGACTAATTCCTGCTCTGTAAATTCAAAGAAAAATACATATAATGATAGTGTATCTTCCTATGATTAATAAAGAGCAATGACAGAGGTCAGTTATGATAAGTAATTATACTATAATTAATTTAATTACAATTACCAAGACTAAGACACCTTTCTATTCTCAATGACGACTCAGAGGTCAGTAGATCTTGAGTGTGTTATGTAGCTTTTAAAAATTAAATCTTAAATGGCAAAAGAAGACTTAGAGTGTAAACATAACCCCATTTGCTGTACTATATTTTATTTTTCATACCTGTCTGATATAACTAAATTCACAGGTTGATCTTTGATGTAAATTAAAATAGCAAAACCACAGTGTAAAACTACTTAATTACTACTTAAATTGAGAAATAGATATTATCTATTTATTCATAGTACTAGTATTTCCATTGCATTAACATAAAATGTTTCCACTACTGCTCTGTACTTAAATTTGTTTGTACTTTTAAGAAGTAATTGCATTTAATTTTTTTTTTCATTTAAATGTCTGCTTATTACAGACAGACAAACAGACAAAAAAAACAGCACAATAAATAACTCTTACACATTTATCTGGGGATATACCTACTTCGAGTGGAGGAAAACTCCTATATTTTACTAAAGCACTAGTGTCAAAATATACTTAAATTACCATATATAAAAAAATGTAATGTAGAAATTGTATAAAGGGATTAAGTGGCATAAAATGGAAGTAAACACAAAGTACACCTAAAGAACCTCAATATTGTACTAATATGGAATAGACTGAATCAAATGCTTAGTTTTTACAGTTAATTCTTTTCATATTTTTCCTTAATATAGGACTTAGATTATAAATCCTGACTTGAGTTTGACAGTTAATATTCCTTTTTCTGGGTATTACATAATACATAATACCCCACTGCCTCCACATGGAGGTTGAAAGGAACTGCTGCCATGTTCTTCATTTAATTTCTTTGTAATTTTCAGAGATAACTGCAATATATATATATATCATTATCATCAGTCAGAATGACCCTTAAAGGAATGCAAATGAGAGGGTTATTTTTGGTTGAACAATACTCTTATTACTATAATTGAAACTTGAAACCATTTAGTCAGATTTTTTCTTCAATATTGTAAATAAACAAATATACACGGTATGATAACTGTCAAATTTTATAATATATCACGGTGTACCTTAAAACCAGTATATCGCTGCAACCCTAGGTGAAATCATGTGCAGAAAAAAAAAAAAACATTAAATTTATAACTCACCAACACAATTTTTCTGTTTGTAGGGTGAAACATTATTTTTAAAGGAATTATACATATATATGTATGAAATAAAAACTTGCCTTGCGCCAGAAAACACCTCTGTCCTTTGTCAACCTTTGTCAATTAAAATGTGTTAAAAGCATCAAAATCTAAAACTAACAGCATGCACTGATAAAATCAGTGTAAATGTTGAAAATGAAAATGTTGGCCCCTTAGATTGTTGTCAACTCTGTCAGATTTCTACAAAAACATAATTTAACAAGATATAAAAGGAGTTCACTTTTCCTTTTAAGATATGTATATATATATATATATATATATATACAGTACAGGCCAAAAGTTTGGACACACCTTCTCATTCAATGCGTTTTCTTTATTTTCATGACTATTTACATTGTAGATTCTCACTGAAGGCATCAAAACTATGAATGAACACATGTGGAGTTATGTACTTAACAAAAAAAGGTGAAATAACTGAAAACATGTTTTATATTCTAGTTTCTTCAAAATAGCCACCCTTTGCTCTGATTACTGCTTTGCACACTCTTGGCATTCTCTCCATGAGCTTCAAGAGGTAGTCACCTGAAATGGTTTTCCAACTGTCTTGAAGGAGTTCCCAGAGGTGTTTAGCACTTGTTGGCCCCTTTGCCTTCACTCTGCGGTCCAGCTCACCCCAAACCATCTCGATTGGGTTCAGGTCCGGTGACTGTGGAGGCCAGGTCATCTGCCGCAGCACTCCATCACTCTCCTTCTTGGTCAAATAGCCCTTACACAGCCTGGAGGTGTGTTTGGGGTCATTGTCCTGTTGAAAAATAAATGATCGTCCAACTAAACGCAAACCGGATGGGATGGCATGTCGCTGCAGGATGCTGTGGTAGCCATGCTGGTTCAATGTGCCTTCAATTTTGAATAAATCCCCAACAGTGTCACCAGCAAAACACCCCCACACCATCACACCTCCTCCTCCATGCTTCACAGTGGGAACCAGGCATGTGGAATCCATCCGTTCACCTTTTCTGCGTCTCACAAAGACACGGCGCTTGGAACCAAAGATCTCAAATTTGGACTCATCAGACCAAAGCACAGATTTCCACTGGTCTAATGTCCATTCCTTGTGTTTCTTGGCCCAAACAAATCTCTTCTGCTTGTTGCCTCTCCTTAGCAGTGGTTTCCTAGCAGCTATTTGACCATGAAGGCCTGATTGGCGCAGTCTCCTCTTAACAGTTGTTCTAGAGATGGGTCTGCTGCTAGAACTCTGTGTGGCATTCATCTGGTCTCTGATCTGAGCTGCTGTTAACTTGCGATTTCTGAGGCTGGTGACTCGGATGAACTTATCCTCAGAAGCAGAGGTGACTCTTGGTCTTCCTTTCCTGGGTCGGTCCTCATGTGTGCCAGTTTCGTTGTAGCGCTTGATGGTTTTTGCGACTCCACTTGGGGACACATTTAAAGTTTTTGCAATTTTCCGGACTGACTGACCTTCATTTCTTAAAGTAATGATGGCCACTCGTTTTTGAATTTTAACAGTTGTCCAATAGGGCTGTCGGCTGTGTATTAACCTGACTTCTGCACAACACAACTGATGGTCCCAACCCCATTGATAAAGCAAGAAATTCCACTAATAAACCCTGATAAGGCACACCTGTGAAGTGGAAACCATTTCAGGTGACTACCTCTTGAAGCTCATGGAGAGAATGCCAAGAGTGTGCAAAGCAGTAATCAGAGCAAAGGGTGGCTATTTTGAAGAAACTAGAATATAAAACATGTTTTCAGTTATTTCACCTTTTATTGTTAAGTACATAACTCCACATGTGTTTATTCATAGTTTTGATGCCTTCAGTGAGAATCTACAATGTAAATAGTCATGAAAATAAAGAAAACGTATTGAATGAGAAGGTGTGTCCAAACTTTTGGCCTGTACTGTATATATATATATATACGTGTGTGTGTGTGTGTGTATGTTAACATTCTAAATGGGTCCCTTTGTATTTCCTGTTTGAATATATGTTAATGCAGACACTGACAGGAAGTTAACAGGGACCAAAGCTGTTGCCCTAGCAACAGAATAGCAATGAAACGGTCCATAAGTGGAAGTTGTCTATACATATACATATCATATCATACATCATATACATGTGTCTTTGTTGTCTACATACACACACACACACACACACACACACACACACACATATAACAGTAAGGTAAAGTACACCCACAATACTGAATAAATACACAGTTGGATAACTAAAACTAACTAAATCTTTTCATATATTTTCTTAATATTATATTTAGATTATAAATCCTGGCTCAGTGTGACAGTTAGTGTTACTCTCTCTCTCTGGATTACATAACACCCCGCTGCCTCCACGCGCAGGTTGAGGGGTTGAACCCGGCCGGGTACCAGCTCTCTCTGTAATCCCACAATGCAGAGCGCATGGCGCGTCATTGGAGAGGGACGACGATGATGGCGGCGGTCGGTGCACCAGAAGTGATCACACAGCTGGAAAGCGCTGCCAAAGTTTTAATGGTGAGAAACTAACCGTTGTTTTGTCGCCATGAAGGCCGGGCTGTGACGTATATGTTACCGTAGTGTCTGCGGGCGGGTATGTCGGCGGGTATTCCCGGGTTTACTTCTTAAATGTGTTCAGTTTTTCGCCCAGAGAGACGGTATGTGAGCGATGCGTGGCGCCTTCTCTTCCCTTGCTTGTCTCCATCCCGCAAAAATCCCACCATATCCCACATTTCCTTCATCTCCCTCCGTCTTCATCACCCCCTACCACCCTAAAATACCCCACCGTGTCCCGGACGGGTTTTAATGACGCTCCGGAAACTTGAGCGAGTCGTGTTGAGCCGTTTGAGCCGTTAAGTTTTATGAGTCTCAGTGGAGACAGTTGGAGCATCCCGGTGCTGTTGGTCCACTCGGCGTGGAGCTGTAGCTCCTCGTGCACCTCCTCAAACACTCACTAACATCCTGTGTTCACCTCCTTTACCTTCAGACTCCATTTTAATACATGTGTGGACACACCGGCTAACTGGCTAACCATGTGGCTGTCATGGGTCTGTGTGTGTGTGGGGTGAATTAGCTAGCTACAGCCTGCTCTTGCTCTCTGCCATTTTGCTTTCCCTTGTTATGGTTTTAAACTGACAATTTTAAATATAATCCTGACAGAGAAGCCTGTCTTAGTGATGTGAACACGATACCAGTAAATACAAGTGTTATACCTTCATGTTATTCCTCAGGTGTCCTCTGAATGGATGGTTAGCTATGTTTGCCATTGTTTTTAGGTACTGTGACTCTAATGTATATATTTTAGTGATCCAGAGGCCTGTACTAGGAAACAGGATTTTAAGTTAGCGAGGTAACTTCAGGGTTAACTCTGGGTTTTCAGTGCTGTGTAGCTGGTTCTCATTTTGCTGGGATAAATTGCCATGGTAACTTATGTTGAACAGTTAACTTGCTCAGGTTAACTTCAGGGTCAACACCCTGACCTCTCCGAAAAAGTGTCCATGGACAAAAATCTGGAGTCTCTGGTATAAAAGAGGAGCTTATATGTTGTTAAAGGTCTGTAGAATCGTTTCATTGCGTTACTGCCTGGCACACACTACACGATATCAGCCCGATTCTAGCCCGACGCAGTGTCATGCGGTGTCGGCTCGGATCGTGAACGACAATGAGTGTCGTACACAATAATCCATCGTTTTATCTCTTGTAGTGTGTCATAGTAGATGACAAAAGATGGCATGTTTGGAACGCCTCATGACATGCCGATATAAAGTCTAGCATGTTTGATTTTTTTTTTTTTTTGTCATTCACGACTACTCCCATCACAGCCGTCACTTTGACCAATAGGAACACAGAACGATCTGCTGCAGTGGACAACTGTACGACAACAACAGCCCAGGGTTTTAGATATTTCCTCTTGGGTCTTTATCACACAGAGTAAAAAGGGAAAAGTTATGGCGTGAAACAGCAGAGGTACTTTATTAACCTGGTGAGTACTTTACTCATTAGCATCAAGCTAGCAAACAATGTTATTTCTTCATAATGCAGACGGACATAAAGTAAGAAAATTAAAAAAAATAGTGGCTTTTACTCACCGCAACGTCAGAGGCTACCAGCTTCATTTGAAACAGACTATAGACGGTCCATTATTTATTATTCCCTCTGTATTTTTATATTTTTACTTTTTATCCGCTCCGGTTTGCCTTGTTTAAGTTAATGCATTGTGCCGTCCTTTCAAACTCAACACTTCCCTGTATCTGTTTCAAACTAAAAGCCCCGTATAACTTAGGTTGAGAGAATCCCTTTTGTTTCCTAAAGAGGCTTTTATTGTGAAACATTTGCAGGAACTTGTTGTGGAGGATTCAGTGACTTGCATGTTTGTGTATGGAACTTCAAATGTAGCTCCTGGCTTCTGCTGGCACTTTTTACCTTACTACAACAACATTTCGGCTGGCACGTGAACAGACACAGTGACTGAAATAATAATCGTTATAATAATAAAAATAGTACAAGAATAACCCGATGACATCACACACGTCGTCAACATCAACACTACTGTGATGCTAAGAAGCACTTGAAACAGCTCAGGCCAAACTCTGGTGTTTTATTTTTTGTATAATCTCAGATGTTGTACACGTACTCTTCTTTTTTTTTTTTTTTTTTTTTCTTACATTATTTGAGGCATTTTATTGGACGGGAGAGGGGGATGAATGTTATATTTTGATCAATGCATTTAAGTTAGAAATATCAGGAACATTGTCAAGTACAGAGCCTTTTTAATGTTGATTTGCTTATGGTTGTATTCAGTTGTTAATTTATTGTAACATGGAAATTTTGTGAATCAGTATCAGGGCTGCACGATATGCAAAAAATAAATACATAAAAAATCCTATTGCCATTATCTTGCTTGGTATTGCGATTGGGATATGAGCTGCATTTGTAGTGGGAAGGACGATTTTTACGTTTCATTTTAACTAAAACAAATTATAAAAATATTGATGATGTGAATTTTGCTGAGGTCTGTAATGAGGAAGCACGTTCCCTTACATCTGGAATATGATTTGTAGGCCGGGGCATCTCTGCAGCACCACAGTGCTTCATTTATAATTGTTGTGACACATTTTACCTTCATCAAAAAATGACAGCGACTGTGATTTCCACATTGCACTCAGCCTTATTGCAAGCCTTATTGATCAATTGTGGTGCCGTTATCGGTATACACCTAGACTTAATACTTACTGTGTCAGCTTTCTTGTAGAATAGCCTTCGTCTTCCACGTTTAACATGTCCCAAACATCAGCTTACTTATATGTGATGTCCCGTATCTGCACAGACATCATGATATACAGTTTTGGATCTTGTTAAATATGATACTAACTCCTCATTTTAGCCAATAATTTTCTTTCTGAATGGATGTAATTCAGAGCTAGGCAGTGTGTCCAATTATTGATTGTCTGCCATTAGTCATTGTGAACCATAATGTGCAACTTTCTGTGTCTGGATTAATCAGGAGTGTAACCATAGATGTATATATGTTGTTAGATTTAATTCAGTACAATGCAGTTCATTGAATATTAGTTGAACAGTGCAGTCTAGTGCCGCTTAATTGTAGTGCATTATATTATAGGGTGTTTGTAACAGACTCTCACTGATACAGCTGCTATAATGCAATACAGTGAAACAGCATAATATATTACATCACCTCAACAAACTGAACATTATAAACTTTATGAATGAATGACTGTATTACATGACTATTGTATTAGACCAGTGGTTCTCAGCCCTAGGGGTCCCCAGAGAAATGGGGAATTTTTTTTTTTTTCTCACAGTTTACTTCTGTAGAAATGGGCCCAAAGTGAGTAAGAGTCATTCTTCTGTGACTGTCCTGATCATAGGTTTCACTTCCTCCTCAGTAATCTCCTCAACTACATAATTCTGGTGTTCATCATAATATCTAACAATCAAAATCTCAGACCATTTTTGTTAATAACAGCTGTTTGTTGTGGCTGAAAAAATGCTGATGAGTTTGAACCAAAACAGGCAAGTTTTGGGCTGTAAGATGTAAAAAATTAGCCTAAAGACTTCACTTTTGGTCACACATAGTAACTTTTTCCATTGTTAAAGAGGCTCTATGTGAAATTCAGAGCGTATGAGTTATGTGCACTAGGGCTGCTCCTGACTAAGAATTTTCCTAGTCCATTAGTAGTGGTCATTTAGGGCCATTAGTCAACTCGTGGTCTGCATGTTTACGATATTAATATACTTATTAAATGACATGTTCTGGTGGTTTGAGTTGAAGGTGTGAGAAAGAATAGTATCAGTAACATTGTTAACACTGTGCTACATTACAGAGAAATACAAAACCGTACTAATGAACCTTCATTAATATAGGCCTATATTTTATCTACAAGTGCACGTCACACACTGAGCGAGCCGCCTGTTAATGACGCTGTGGGATAATGAGCATGTAGCTACTTCCATGTTTCAGATGATACGTCATGTTTGTAGTTGGATTTCCTGCCGGACTGGTTATTAACCAGGGGGGTTAACACTGTCAGTGTCCGCAACAACACTATCATAATATCAGCAGTAACTGTCGTATGAGAGCAGTGCAAAGTGTGAGCGATGAGCTAGCTAGTGAGATACACACAGTCAGCTGGTCCAGCTTACCGCAACAAACCACAGAGAAGTGATGTCATTCAAGCTGAGGACACCATTATTCCACTATAGCTTTACAGCAAATGGAGGATTGCTGCTGTGTTAATGCTGTGAATGTCGCATAAAGAACCTCTTAGAATAAAAATATCCATTAGTGCAGCTGTAATGTGTATTGTAATCAAGTTAAATATTCCATCTTGTTGAGATTTTTCATGGCGTGTTGTGTGTCTGCCATCTCATTACAGTATATTATGTGCCTTGAAGAGTGTGTGTGTGTGTGTGTGTGTGTGTGTGTGTGTGTGTGTGTGTGTGTGCTCTCAGATAAAAGGGTCTTTCTTCCCTCTGCTGCCTTCAGCCTCAGAGCTGCTTTTACTGCAATTAGGACAGGAATGTGATTTTCCTGCTGAGCTGTATCATGGCGACACTCCTCAATAAAAGGCTGTCAGTGTGTATGTGTGTGTGTGTGTGTGTTGTGCTTTCCTATTTAGGCTGTTATCATGGAGGGTTTTCTGTTATTGTCTTGCCTTGACTTCTTCTGTAAAGTATAACACTGCCTATATTTACACCAGGGCGTGTGATGGTTTTATACTGTACACTCTGAGTGATAGCTGTACATACTGTACAGTCTCTAATCTTAGCCAACCACTTATAGTGCCTCCTTTCTTGGGGGTGCAAATGTGTCCAGCTGCACGATTGGTTGTCAATTAGCCAATCGGGGCTCATATTTCCATGTGTTTGTGCTCATACTACAGCAGCACTTTCAAAGTTTAGATTCTCATCTGGACGCCTGGACAAAATAAGGAGTGAAAAATGAGAAATAACAGGGTTTTGTTTTCTTAAAATGTGATTGGTAGTAGAAAGTATTTTTCCATTTTATGTATCATGGCATGTTGCTGTTCCTTCAAGAGATACTGTGCACAGCAGGATCATTTCCAAACACCTTATATGCAGCTATGGCTGTTAGAATAAAAGCAGGCAGAGATTCAGGGCTTCAAAGGGCTCTTAATGCACACAATATTTTTTGGGACAGTATTTCAAATACTTAACAATAAATTGTGGTAAATTTTGACTGTTTTCTGAGTCTTTTCTCTTTTTTTAGACTAGTCAGTTAGTCTTAATCAAAAATTTTGTTTGGTCGACAGGGCAATTAGTCGCCAGGAACATCCCTAGTTAGCACTTTGCTTACAATTTAATGTTTTTTGTTGGTTAAAATAGCATATTCCTGCAAACAAAAATCTTTAAAATCACAAATATAAATGAAATTAGATGTTCTGAGAAATGTGGGACCAGAACATAGTAGAAATAAACTTGTCTATAAATAAATTTTTGTGTGTGTGTTTGTTTCCAGGCACCGCCGTCCATGGTCAGCACAGAACAGAGGCAGCATGCTGAACACATATTCCTCTCCTTCAGGAAATCCAAATCCCCTTTTGCCATCTGCAAGCACATCTTAGGTAACTACTGATGTAATCAACCTACATGATTTTTTTATAAGCATGATTTTATCCAGGGAAGACTGCTCTTTTTTTTATAGAATGAGAGCTGTTATGTGTCTGCGTGTGTTACGTGTTGTTCGAGGGGAAGAAGCCGCCTCAGTTTCACATTACTTTGATTTCAGTCAGGTTTTTCCATCCAGTGTGGGCGTCACAAACCTTCTGCCATGAACCTTAATTTATGTCAATAACCCCATACAGAAAAATTATCATTGTAATGTACACTCACCAGCCACATTATTAGGTACACCAGGAAATTGGAAAAACGTTGCCTGGTCTGATGAGTCTGGATTTCTGCTGCCACATTCAGATGGTAGGATCAGAATTTGGCTTCATGAATCCATCCTGCCTTGTATCAACGGTTCAGGCTGCTGCTGGTGGTGTAATGGTGTGGGGGAGATTTTCTTAGTACCAACTGAGCATGGTTTAAACACCACAGCCTACCTGAGTATTGTTGCTGACCGTGTCCATCCCTTTATGACCACAGTGTACCCATCTTCTGATGGCTACTTCCAGCAGGATAACACACCATGTCACAAAGCTCACATCATCTCAAACGTGACAATGAGTTCACTGTACTCCAATGGCCTCCACAGTCACCAGATCTCAGTCCAATAGAGCACCTTTGGGATGTGGTGGAACGGGAGATTCTGTGTGATGTCATCATGTCAATATGGACCAAAATCTCTGAGGAATGTTTCCAGCACCTTGTTGAATCTATGACACCAAGAATTAAAAAGGGGGTCCAACCTGGTACCAGAAAGGTGCTCCTAATAATGTGGCCGCTGAGTGTATGTTGTCCACCACATTTATAACAATAAGGGTAGACAAAATATTAGAAACACCTCTATAATGTAAAACAGTTTAAGAGGGGCACAATTTACAGCCTCCAAAATGATCATAAACTTGAATCAACACCTCTTGAAATAATTTAAACAAAAACTGAACATTATAAACTTTATGAAGGATGGATTTATTGCAGGACTGTTGCATTAGACTGGACTCATTATAGCGAGGTGTGCCCAGTATATAACTGTTAATGTTTGCATTATAATGTAAAGCATATTAAGTTTAGGCTAAGTGTAATGCAATGTGCCAAAGTCATAAAATTGTCTCATAAATTGGGTTATGTTACTCACATTATGTTCCCCTCAGATTAATCATAACTTTATTAATACTCTCCATCTGTAGAATAACTCTAACAAACGGGTTTAAGTTCTGCGTAGCTATGATGGATTTCCATCATTTGGAGTTCATAGAGAGTATTTAAACTTGGCTGCCTTAGAGCCAATGAAAATATTGTTGTAATAATTGGGCACGTTTCCTAAAGATTCATTTTCCTAGAAAATTGTTTTCAATAAATGTCATTTGTTAACTCTGATTAACCATTTAGGATGTTTTGTAGGATAATGTTCAGTGTTCATAATGCACGGTGCAAAGTTCCACATGTTTCGGCAAAATTTAAAATTGATTTCTGAAAATTGTAATCAACCATTTCAAATGGCTCGCATGATATACACAGTATTTTTTCAGACAGTGTTTAACCTTATAGATTAAACTGTGCTGTTTTCTAAGTGTTTTCCTACTTTTTGACTAGTAGACTAAACTTCTTTTAAGCATCAGAAATATTAGTTGTCAGGAACATCCTTTGCTACAAGCTGAGCTATGATGGTGAAATATTTCATGGAGGTAAAATTAATGGTTTAACATCACTGCCAGAGGAGAATATTTCAAGCAGCCCTGTTGAAACTGAAGTGGACGACAATCCACTGAACACAAGTGCTAGTGGCTCATTAAACAGTGTCAGTGAAGTCTCTGTAAGCACCTGATGAAGGGCTGACTCTTGCTGTGTGGAAGAGTTTAATTATCAGGTCTAGTGCTACTCTCTTGGTACAGTCTGGCTGTGGCTGATAACAATGAATAATCTTCTGACTAGGAATAAAGCTGCCTCCTGCGTGAACTGTCTGTATCTGAATATGGTAGGCTGACACTCCTGTAACTTTGCCTAATATTTTCTGAGGTAGAATGGGGTGTTAAAAGTTTGAGGATCACTGACATAAATTGATAGTTGATTAAGAATTCATATCTCCAAACTCTAAGATGTAACTAACTTTCAACATACTGACTCACAAAGCAGAACATGAGTTTTCCCAGGCACTCATTTTAACCCACTTGTCTTTTCTCGTCCTTTAACATTCTCCATCTTTACATTTCTCTTCTCCCACCTCCTGTTTCTCTCCTCTCCAGAGACCAGTAAGGTGGATTATGTGCTGTTCCAGGCAGCCACAGCCATCATGGAGGCGGTGGTGCGGGAGTGGATCCTGCTGGAGAAGACCAGCATCGAGTCGCTGCGGGCGTTCCTCCTCACCTACGTCTTACAGAGACCCAAGTAAGAAAGCAGGAAAAGGTGTAATTAGACCTGCATGTGTCTTACAGGAGCTTTAAGTATGAGTGACCAATATGGACCTCCATTAGTGAGAGGTGGATTTTGGCAAGAACATCGATAGACCTCATCTCCTGGTACATGAGTCTGAAACACATAAATTTGTGTCATTCAAAAGCCTTTAATATTCACCAACAAAATTCTAAATCCCACGGATATATTAGGGTCTTTTTGATGTGTAGTACAAGTTACAGAAACCTGCTCCAGAGTCTCTGACCTGGAGCAGGGACAGGTTACCAAAGCTCTGTTAAACAAACTAGAAGGATTTCTATTTGCTTTCATTTAAGTAGACAGTGTGATTTAAAAGGAACTAACACAGAAAAGCATCAAAGTTAATTTTTCCATGTGATACAGGCCAAAGAAAATTGTTTTCTTTGCTGTCTGTCAGTGTTATTGCACTTACTGTAAGCTCCTCTTCATCAGAGCATTGATTCACTAACCAACCACACCTCTCTGTTTCCCTCCAGTCTCCAGAAGTATGTCCGTGAGCAGATCCTGTTGGCCGTGGCAGTCATCGTGAAGAGAGGCTCTCTAGACAAAAGTATCAACTGTAAAAGCATCTTTCACGAGGTCGAACAGCTCATCAGCAGCGGCAACACCACAGTGGTGAGAGAGACACACAGATGCATTAGTACATGATGTATTTAATTAATGTTGGTTATGGTGGCAACCTCTGGGGCTGAAAAATGACATGCTGTGCCAAAAACCACAGTTCCTTGAGAGGCCACTTGTGGCTGACTTCAAAAGCGAGTCAATCCCCATAGACCCCCATGTTAAAGGGTAGTTTGGATACTTTTAACTGGGGTTGTGTGAGGTACTTCTATCCATAGTCAGTGTGTTGGCTACAGTAGATGGGTTTGGCACGCCCCCAGTTTGGAGAAGCAGACGGGAGTACTGACATGGAAGCTAAGCAATGTACTGCAGTGAAAAGGGGCAATAACAAAACCTATTTTAGCCACCTAAAAAAAAATCTGTATCAGTTTAAGTGTATGCAATATTAAGAATATTTTCACCACTTCACTTTTCCAACAGGAGACTGAAGCAGTTATGTCGCTCTCTTCAAAGCCAGACTCCATTGAGAAACACAGTAAAGCCTCATTTCCACCGTGCAGTACAGTATGGTTCAGTTCGGTTCGCTTTTTTTCCATTTCCACTGTGAAAAGTTGTGGATGGTACCAATGGAACCGTTCCTTACTGCCCCCATTTTTGGTCCCCCCACTGTTGGGGTACCTAGCACACAGATCTGGTACTAAAAGGTGGAGCTGTGAACACAACAGTCCATTGATTGGTCATCACTTTTGCTCAACTCACAAAGTGGAAACTCGCCAGAAATGTCAGCACAACGTTTCTTGGTTAGTTACCGAGGTGCAGATCTCTATTATTACTCTATTACTCTCTATTATGGGAGAGGAGGAAATAAAGCGGGAACTGGAAGGAGCCGTGAGGAATGAGAAGGTGTTCCAACTTGTATGCCAGCGAATGGCTGACCACGGCTTTCAGCGGGCGGCCGAACAATGTCCCACCAAATGCATAAAACTCAAAAGTGACAACAGAAAAATTAAAGACCACAATGGCTGGGGTGGTGCAGGCAGAAAGAGCTGGTGGTGGTTCGGCGCCATTGAAGCCATTTATGGACACAGGCTGGCGAGCATCAGAAGAGAGGGGGGCATCGATTCAGCCACGGCTTTACTAAACTCATTGAGGCAAAGATTCACCAGCAGCTCCTATGTGCAGTGAGCTTAAATTACTATTTTTGCCAATAGAGTCTGGTTGGGCTGGGTATCGATTCAGATTTTCCAGATCGATTCGATACGATTTTCAAGGACTCGGTTCAATTCGATTAACGATTCAATCCGATTTGAATTAATTCAGTTTAATATCAATTCAGTCAAGTATATTTCAATTATGATACAAAATTTGCTTGGATATTAAGATATTTTCTGAGAAATAACGAAGTACATTTAACAAGGAACCCTCTGACCTGGTGCATTACTATTAAAAATACTGTTTACATTAAGAATTGACCCCAAACCAGTACATTAGTCATCATGTACTTTTATTTAACATTACCTGACACATACAAAATAAATATTTTAAATTAAATCTAATCACAAGGCAGAAAATTTAAATGAAGTGGCTACAAAAAATGTAAACAAAGGACATCCACAAGTTTGCTGCCTGTAACCGTCTTATAAAGCTTTTTCCGCAATACACTACAGTGGTTGTGATGCACACATTGACTGTATCAGAAGAGAAACAATGTAGGTGAACCCTGCAGCAAAGTGAACCCTCTTCCTCAGAGAGGATCTTTGCCCCCCAGTTTGTTCCTGGCGGCAGAGCAGAGTGAACCGTCTTTCTTCTCAGAGGATCTTTGTCTCATGAGAGCAGGCACTAACAGCTCCATGTCTGCAGTGTAAACAACTTCACTGGCGATTTGACAGTCACTACAAGCACATTATGACCCTTTGTAAAAGTTTCTGTGTGGTACCTGTGTTGTACATGAGGTAATGTTAGCGGCTAAGGAAGGACTGAGAGGCTGTCCGGTATATGTGTGTGTGTGTGAGTGAGTGTCTGAGGAGCGTCAGTATGTTAGCTTGTTAGCCGTAACGTTAGCTTTGCTGTTTGTCATGTAACGTTATCGTCGGCAGCCCTGAATAGCTTGTAAAGCTTTAGCATAGTTGGTTAACACATTTGTTATCGGCCCATGTGTTTACTGCTACAGAGAATTAATAAATATTTGGTTTATTTGCACAACGTGCCTCTCTGCCGTCTTTTATCACGCTTGCTAACGCTAAGTTAAGGGGCCAGTGTGTAATATTTGGCATGGTTTATAGTCAAATCTGAATCTGAATCTGAATATTCTACCCATTAATATGTTTATATAAGTGTATAATCGCTATAAAATAAAATTCGTTTGGTTTTCGTAGCCTTATAATTATGCTTTTATATATTTATATATATATATAGCAAGGGCCTTGCTTTAGAGAGGTCGCCATCTTGCGCCGCCATGTATGTACGGCAGCCCGAGCGGACAATCCAGCCAGCCAGAGAACGCGTTTCGCGTGTATAAATAAACCAACGAAGACAGCGGAAGGAAGGAAGAAGGAGGAGGAAACAGCAGAGAGTGTTAGTAGTTCGTCGACAGAGAGTAGTGAAAGGTTTTTTTTAGTTATAAAGTTTGCGAATGGACCACACTTACCACGCAACAGGAGAGAATGAACCCGAACCGCCATCTGCGAGGAAAAGGAGACGCAACTTCACTCCTTGTGATGCACTCTCTGCGGCGCTTTTCCTCCTGGTGATATATCTCCCCAACAATGGCAGCAGTAGCACCGAATCCCATTCTGTGCAGCAAAATGGGAGCGAAGGATTCAGCCTCTCGTCTCGCCCACTCAGCATCCAAGTTCCTCATCTGTGTGCTCCGGCTCAAACAGGTATGGCTCTGGGTCTGTGTCCACTACAAGAAACTCTTCAAAATCGCGTTCAAAGTCGTCCATTGCAGCTACTATAGTCCGGAGATATTGCTAGGCTAAATAAACAGCTGAGCTCTGTTTACAGGCTACGCTGTCAGTCAGTGTGCGGGCTGGAGATTGGTGGAGCAGAGAGCGGAGGGGGTACCCGCTTGGTATTGTAAACGAGAATGTGTGTGTAGAGTGTGTGTGTTACACTAGAAGAGTCAGAGTTTGGGACGTTTGGGAGTCTTTTACCCCCTGGAGTGTTACCGGAGTTTTTGGATTGCTCAAATAAACGGGCTTTTTTCCCGAACACTCCTCTGGTCTCCTGATCGTGAGTGATTCATTACAATATCATAACATGGTTTAGATTTCTAAATAAACATTCACCTCGTCGCTAGATAGACCTACTCCTGAAAAACTCGTGTCTGCGCAAGGCTTTTTGTCCCTACGAGGCCACCGTCATTTACCCGACGGGAGGGGTGAGCGAGTGAGCCCTGCAATCTAGAATTTGGCCACTGATGTCACTGTTCTCAGCCTATTTTACACACTGGCCCTTTAACTTTACCAGCAAATCTGTATGAAGTACAAACTGAGGCGACAGTTAGCAGTGTGTTGATGCTTAGTGGTATTTCTTAATCTTTTCTGTGAAACTGATGTGCATTTAATAAACATGCGTACATTATTAACGTTATAGTTTTAGGGGAAAATGCGAGTGAGAAAAATGCACCGTAGACCCATGCCTTCAGTGGACGCGCTCCCACCATTGTTTGCTGCTCTGTCTTCATTCAGTGTCCGGCAGTCTCACGAGATATCTAACCATGACCTCAGGTGCTAAATGCTGATCTCGCGAGACTACCTGGGTTGATAGTACTGCAGGCTGCTGCAGTCTGCTACCGGCTGTACAACACGTCCACGGAGGAAAATAAATAATTATAGTAAAAGATCGATTTTTTTAATTAATGAATCGATATTGTGCCATTTAAAGGAAAATCGATTCGAATCGATTTTTTTCAACCCAGCTCTAGGGTCTGGTGGCTTTCATGAGAGCATAGATGGAGAACTGATAGGGAATCGTCTGCGGCAAGGTGAACAGGTGAAAATGTTTTCAATATGGGGTACACTTCAAATTATATTGATTTTCATTTTTTTCAATGGGACTTTTTTTAGGTGACTAAAATATATTTTGTTGCTGCCCCCTTCCAAATCAGGACATTGCTTAGCTTCTGTGTTAGTATTCCTGCCTGCTTCTCCAAGAGAAGCAGGCAGGAATGGAGGCAGGAATGGAGGCATGCTGGCAGGAATGGAGGCATGCTGGCAGGAATGGAGGCATGCTGGCTGCCATCTATCATAGGTTATAATTGACTATGCATAAGGACCTCATACAATCCCACTTTAAAAAGCCCGAACCTTCCCTTTAAAATGCCCAACAGTACAGCAACATTATTTACAGCCTGTTACAAAAATAGTTTTATGAGGTAACTAATTTCCCCGTTGATAACTGTATGGGCTGTGAATTTTTATTTTTTATTATATATATATAAATAAATGTTTTGTGAACCATCTCTACCTCTACTACCTCTGAACACTCATGTACAAAAATTGTGAATTTGACCATCATCAGTGTTTGTCGCTGTGAAACAACACATTTGTAATTTTTTTTCCAAATAGGTGAAGAGTAACACAAATAATGACATGTCACAAATTTAGTTCTGATCCTATCTCTATTCAATCCTGTTCTTATTGTCCCTGAAGACATGAATTTAAAACACACCCAAACACAGTTGTAGATAAATGGCACAACTGGTCTGGTGTATTCACAGCATGAGAGGAGCACTTGTTAACAGAACTGGGCTAAAGCTTTGATCGTGTTTATTTTATTTGTGACTTGATGGACCACATTTGTGCCCTGGTTACAGACCTGCATGGGATCTGGCTCAGATTACAGAGAGCCCAGTCTGAAAATAAAAAATGGAACAAAGGCCATACTGGGGAGGGAAAAAAAAGCTCCAGGCATGTTCCTGTGGTCAGAAGAAAGTTAAATATCAAGTGCCTGTTTTCTTTGCTCATGCACTTAAATCAATTTTATGTGTATTTATCAAAGCACATTTTTTCATTTTAACATGTTTCTTGTGTTTGGTGCTGTGAGCTGTCATAGTTCAATACATAAGATGTGTTTGACTCGGCACACTGATGAAGCTTTGCTGCATAAAGGCAAAATGAGTGTTTACAAAACTATATTGGCATGACTTTGTCTCAGTGCTGCTCTGTATTATAAAACAGCCACATGTTAGTCCTGTAGATGGCACTATTTCATTTGTTTAGCTAACCAAACACAGAACTAGATAGGGGACAACTGTGTGCCGTGGAGGGCTGAGAGCAGGTGATTTCACTGATAATGATGGAAAAAACATGATAAGAGAAAGTGATCAGTGGTGTCATTTAATGCAGTTTTTGTTTGGAAAAAAATTCAACAATTACTGCCCCCCAAAACTTAATTTAGAATCTGGACCACAGAGAGCAAATCCACTTACAATCCATTTACAATTACAAACTGTACTATAAAACGCCATGCATCCATTTTGGACGTCCTAGTTTAAATTAACTGTTTAATCTGAGTGAGTCAGCTGGTTGTGGTGAGAAGATGCTCTGTAATCAACAGACAAACACTGGAGGACGGGCTGTAGTTCACCAAGATGGCTAATTTTTATCTGCCTGATGTTAAAAGTAACTACTTACTAAAAACTATTAGTCCAATCGAAATAAAAACAATCAATTGATGAGTGATTTATCGAGAAAAAATGCTAAATATATGATGCTCTTTGTGGTTTCAGCTTCACCAGTGTGAGGATTTAAAGGGATCAATCACAAACCACCAGTCATAGATTAGATTATATTGTGATTTACATATGTGACCACTGTTCTATGAAAACTTCAGTGAACTCTGATGGTTTTACTCTTGTTCCTTCAAGGACTAGTTGTATTCTTGATGAAAGGTGATATTATGATATTCAGTCCTGTATTAATGGTATTATCCATGAATAGGTTAGGAGTTGTGCACCAGAACAGAAATATATCTATGCTGTGTCCTGATTCCATACTACATACCAACAGTATGATGTAGGCATGGATGTTTCCAGTCGCCTCTCTCTGCTAAACATGTGCTAAATTTATGCTCTTATGTCTGTTTTGCCGATGGTAGGGGTGCTTTTTTTTTTGGTTGGCGTTGGGTGGTGGTGGTGGTGGTGGTGTGTAATGCAGGTTGCTCATTGGGATGTGGAAGTCAACTCACCAGTCTGTGAAGTCTTCTGACGACTGCTGGCTGGCCAGGTTGCGGCTTTCAAATGTAAATATCAAGGAAAAGATGGAGAAGAAATGGGCACCAGCTGAGCTAGTATCCTGTTAGCCATTGCACAGGCTTTGGATAACAACCTTTGTGCTGCATCAGTTTCCAACGGAATATCAGGACCTGTATCCTTTGATTCTTGGAAACTTGGCTGAAACCTAGAATACTGGACAGCAACACTTGACCAGGTGACTCATCCTATATGCCGACCGAGAGAAGAAGAAGTGTGCTTTATTGTGATACCGTGACAGTGGGAATGTGAGGTGCTGTCCTGTTCCTGTTCATCCTGCACCACGGAGAATGAACACCCTGGATCATTGCAACACACCTTTCAGAGGCAGCTGCAGAGAGGAGTAGAGAAGAGCAACCATGCTGCCATTTGGTTGAGGTCAAATTATGTAGACAAACTGCGATGAATGCCCCCAAAGATGTGAGAGAAGGAGCCAAACGTAGCCTGGAGCATGTTCCAGGACACCAGCATCAACGTCACTGATGATATCAATGGATGAAGCGAGTCTGTGGTGGATTTAATTTGTAGAACAGAAGTAACTCTACCCAAAACTGTAATTAAATCAGTCCACAACCAGAATCCATGGATTACCAGAGCCATCCGGAAACATGGACGATTATAAAGTGGCAGCCAACAATGTAGGAAGACACAGAAGATGAAGGAGCTGTACCTTGTATCACTTCATCTAACAAATAAATGATTGATTTAACAGAATACAGTGCACGGCATCCTCTGGTATACCTTTGACGTTGTTGCACAAAGAAAATCGATATACTTCACTAATTTGTACAGGAAATGATGCAACATGTGCTCTAACAGAAGTCGATTTCACTGTAACTCCGAACATCACCACCAAGTAATCCTCACACAAGAGAAAACAAAATGTTGTTCCAAAGATTTCATACTTGTTTTTGTTTTCTCAGACCTTCACTGAGCTGTCTCACCACCAACCACAACTTGTTTTAATGGTTTGCAGCTGCTTCGTTTCCTTTGTGCGTTGCATTGTGGAGCAACATTACACACCAACAGCACACTCAAAAATCAAGCTGAGCACTGACTTTTTCTTTTCAGTGTACTTACTTTTAATTGTGTAGTTTTTCCAGTGTGACGCACACACACTGAAAACTTGCTTAGAATTGTTGTGTAGTATAGAGTTGGGGCTGAGTGCCAGTCTTTCTACATGAAGCCTCCTTTTTAGGTCTTGACTGATGATCCTTGCTCTAGTTTGACCTCAGTGTAACTCTTTGTGTAACATTTGACCCGTATGATCACACACCCCTCTCTGCTGCAGCAAACACTGGCCTGCTCCATCCTGACCGCTCTGCTCAGCGAGTTCTCCAGCTCCAGTAAGACCAGCAGCATCGGCCTCAGCATGGAGTTTCACGGCAGCTGCAAGCGTCTGTTCCAGGTTTGTTCACAGCCTCACTTCCTGGTCAGTGTTTTTACACGCTGGTAATACTGTATACTTTTAATCCTCATTTCATCCTTCTTCCTACAGGAAGAGGGCCTGCGTCAGATCTTCATGTTAACCATGCAGGTGCTGCAGGAGTTCAGCCGCAGAGAAAACCTCAACGCCCAAATGTCGTCTGTCTTCCAGCGCTACCTGGCTCTGGCCAACCAGGTCCTCTGCTGGAACTTCCTGCCACCCAATCATATCCTTTCTTTGTCACAGCCTGGTGGGGAGTCTTTCACCTCAAAATGTCAGGATTTTAAATTTGATGATCTTCTCAAACGATTGGATAAATTTGGCACAAGTATGGCGTGGAAAAACAGGTCAGTTACCAACATAACTACACAATAAGGGCAGTTTATGGCTTGCTGTTTCACACATTGGAATATTTATTATTCTTAAAGAGAATTTACAGAGTAATTACGCCAAGTTGGGCACAGAATAAAACTCAAGACAACCCCAGTGGTTTTATGTTTGTAGTTTTAGCCATCAACTTTTATTGGTTTGAGAGATTTTATTCAGCACTTTAATTGGTAAAAACTGGCACCATGACTCTGCTACACTCCATTTTCCAACAGAATTCAGTTATGTAAGCAACAAAAGAAGATCTGGATAGTTTTAACTTTTTTACCCAAACATTATCTTACAACATATTTGTAAGTCAATATAAGCTGAAGTCAAGAGGAATTTTCATTTTGCAGACTGTATAATTTGTTGGAGTAAATAAGGATGTTTTTATATTTGGTCCACTTCCTTTGCCACTTAGCTTTCACATTAGTAATGTTACGTACTTGAGTACACTTGCGTCATCAGCATGCCCGACATTGCCCGTCATCAGCGGGGGCCAGTGGAGTAGCGAGGCAATGCTCTGCTCCTTGCCCTCCTTGTCGAGGAGCTGCTGCTTTCGGGGACTGAGCCTTCAGGTTCGAAGACGGCCACAATCCCAGATCTTAGTCTTGCCGCCGCGGGCTGCACTGCCGTCTGATATGAAGGCATCAGTTATAAATTGAGAATGACCGGTTAAAAACTCCTCGTAGTTGCATTAAATAGAAGTCCACTTCCATGTTTTCGGTGCAGTTGGTGTTCACACCTGAACAAAAACTGTACTTGTGACCACTCTTTCAGGTGGACCTGGGCACGGAACGGCATACCATGCCAGGGTTTGGTACACAGTGTTCACACTGATCAAATGAACTAGAAATTACTCACCAGAAATCCTGAGTGCAGAGCTGATCTTCCTGGCGTTGCTTTGTAGTGTGTATTAGGTTGAAAATATTGTCCATGGATGTAAAGCTCTGGGTAGCCCTAAACTAAAATGACCAGCTTCTTCTCCATATTTGCTGTGGTAAGATATCTGCTGACTGAGATTGGTTGTTCCTCGTCACTTGACATGCGGTGCGCACTGCTTCGTACTAAATGTTGAACTTTGTTCATCTCAGAGCGCAGCCGTACGGCCCTGAAAATAAAATAGGCTCTTGGCAAAGCATGTGCACTGCAACAGCGTCTCTCTGGCTTTTGAGTGCGCCTGCCACGCGTCTCCATAGACATGGGTGGGTTTTAGAGTGCAAGAAATGCAGCATGTGTATGGCCTCTAAGTCAAAGTGTGATGAAGAATCACAGCGTTGTCCTCACCATGTTTCTTAAATGTAACTTAGGCGATGAAATGTGTATGTAATTTGATCATGGCACCACTTGTATCGCTCATTATAAAGTGTCTCCCAATGTTGATGGCTAAAAGTACAAAAATGAGACCCAGGTTGTAAAAAGGTTTGTCTAGGAAAATGGAAATAAGTATCCAGATGCAGAGAGAGAAGTCTTCTTCAATCTTCTTGACTTTGAAAAAACAACAGATTTTAGGTTAAAAGAAATAGTTCATGTCGGGGTTACAAAGTTCAGTCAGTGGATCGCACTCCAAATTGTAAGACATTGTGTGTTTGTCCACATATTTGTGTGAATATACATGAGGTTTTTTTTTCTTCTCTTGTAGATCAGTATGCATTGTCCCTGTAGTGTGTGTGTGTGTGTTTGAGTGTGTATGCGTGTGTGTGGTGCTACAAATATGTGATACTCTGGAATGCATATGTGACCATCAGCTTTGCTTTGTAGTCGGAGGCACACATACATATTATCTTTGCAGTTGGCCGCATTGTTGAGCAAACTTAGGCACTTAGTGTGTTTTGTGTGTGTGTGTGTGTGTGTGTGTGTGTGTGTGTGTGTGTGTGTGTGTGTGTGTGTGTGTGTGTGTGTGTGTGTGTGCGCGCGCGCGCGCAGTCCAGGCTCATTACGGCCTAAATCCCTACCAGCCTGGCATCCTCTCTGCCTGTCTGAGGGGATCTGGAGTGGCGCTTTGCTGCCAGCCAGGGCCATGTATCACTTTCAAAGAGGTGTCTGTGTGTCCATCTCCGTGTCATTCCAGCGGCCCTCCACCCCCGCCTTGGCTTGTTGAGGCTCCCCTTGGTATGCCTGGCACGCTCGGTTCGATATGTGTTCTCAAAGATGCACTTTTAAGTCCTCTGTGTGTGTCTGTGTGTATTAGCTGTTGCAGTTCAACATTATTTCAGTGTTGGTTGAATATTTGAAGCCACCAGAGCAGTTACTCTTCATGTGAGGGACCTTTCAGGTTGAGGTTAAAGCAGGATACTGAATATTAAATATCATTAATGCAGTTACTAGAGTTTCTTGCTGTAAATTGCTTTGCATTGCGCCTATCGCACATTTAAAACTGTAGTTGGTAACTTTCAAAAAAAAAAAAAAAATTGGAATATTTGCTAAAACTTTTGCCACATACACATGAGATGGATAATTTGTTGGGAAATTCTCCCTACTGTATTGCCTCGTAGCGCTTCTAATGGCACATGAAGGAAAACAACTAATCAGAGCCGAGGAGTTTGTAACACGGCTGTTAGTCACTTCAGTGAAGGTGTGTGAACTGTGGTCAAACTATCAAACAAGTAAGCGCTGATCAAATATGAATCAAGATTCTGTTACTAACTTCCAAATGTTTTCAGAAACAAATTTAGTGTACTGTTTAGCTGTAAAATGAGAACAGTTTTTACCTAAGGGTGGTGCTTTGGTTTGGCCCGACTGTTTCAAACATGGCAGGCAGGTTACACCATCCTCATTTTACAGCTCAACAGTACACTAAAATATGTTAGCCATGTTAAAACAGTCCAGCCTACACGAAACACAGCCCACCAGTCATAGCAAACTTTCTCATTTTACAGGTAAACCGTAAAACATATCTAATTATATTTTGCACCTTTTCCCTGATGGTCTGAATAAGTTGATAGATTTGTCACTGGTTGCACATCCCACCCTTTAGCGTCTGTATGTGACACACTGCTGAAACACATTAGCCCTTTTTACGCAGAGATCATGCTAAAGGCCCTCTACGAAGTCCCCTCTTCATGCCACCTTTGCATTTTTGCACAGAATCAACAACAGCGGCGGCTCCAATGTGTGATTTCAGACAGGTGGCTTTGTCACACCCTCGGCATGTGATATCGACGCCAAAGGCACCCTTTAGTGTCATTATTAGACGTACCGGGCTTTTAAATAACTCCAATATAAACCTGTTCATGGAAATACTTGACTCTGAGAGTACGTCAGTTTAGGGCTGGATGGAGAAGAGGTGGATGGGTCAAACAAAACAAGACTTTCACTCAGCAGCTCATGCGAAACCAAAAGTCTGTGTTGTATTTTGTTTTGACGTAATTTCCGTACAGTTGTCCACACTGGTGTCAGTTGTGAGGTATTTAGGTCAACTTACGTTATCGTCAAGTAACAAATGTACTGACTTTCCCCCACAATATGAGCCTTTTTTCTAATCTTCACCGCAACACAACCATTTCAATCACATGTTATTAGAGCCCTTTTTAAACTGCCTCTTCAAGGCAGGAATTTCACTACGTTATGCCGCCTCACTGTTCTGTATAAAAACTACAATCGCGGAATAGGGGGTCAGACTGGTCTTGCTTTTAAGCCGCTACTAACAGCACAGAAGCAATGTCTGTGTAAATGGGACCCACCACAAGAGATTTAGAAAGTAGCTGCTAGCAGTTAGCGGCTAACTCAAAAAAGAACAACAGCGGGAAATGTCCACAAACTGGGAAAACAATGAGGTGTCAGAGCTCCTTACCCTCAGAGCAGAGGACGAGATCAGCCGCCATGTAACAGAGATGGTGAACGATTGTTATTGCCATTGTATGCCAATGCTATTGTTTATAAAGCGCTTGCATATATTATATTTTACACAAAAGGCTGCCGCTGTTGTGTTGAATGTTATGCCTGTCGCACTTCGTGAGGACTGTGGGAATGACAACGGGATGGTAGAAGCTCCGTGAGCATGACCACTTTATGACTGTTATGGATGGAAGAATTTTTGCATTCAAGTGATGAAATATTTAATAATATTTCAGTGGATCATTTATACATTTTCAGTTGAATTCCCCATTAATATACTGTACCACCAATTAACTATACCTCAGTAAGTATAGATATTGATAGATATTTTAAAGCTTGCACTTAAACTTACTGCACTGTACATTTCATGTTAGCTGTAATCAAAGTGTTCTTTTTCCCCCATCTTAAATTGGTCAAATTGTCACAGTTCGGTTACATTAAAAATGTTTACTTGTGGCCCTCTGCAACCTGCAGATACCTTTCCAAAATCATCAAGTAAATTTGAATGACTGTGAAGTAAAGGAAGCTGATAATTCATAAATAAAATGAGGTCTCAGGTTACCAGGCGCCTGATAATACAGCTGCAGTTCTCTGGTTTCTCAATGTTGATAGAAATAGAAATCAGCAGATCAGTTCTTAAATCAAGTGGCATTCTCCTTGAAATTCTGTGCACATGTGAGTGTATGCACAGCCTACAAGTGTCTGCACTGTTGTTGAAAAGGAGAACAGATTGATGAAGGCCACTGGGAGGCCTGAGTGAGTGCGGCCGCCTGTCTGCAAGTGTCACAACACGCCTGTGCTTGTGTGATGCGATGCAAACGTATGCCAGGACGGGTATCAAGGGGCCTCTTCTAATTGCGTGGCTGACAGCCGCCGTCTTTCACACACGAATACACACGCTCCTTGACCAGCTCAAAGACCCTTTTTTAAAAAGCGTTTCTCCCTCAGACGAACTGAGCGGCATGCATGTCATCTGTCCTCGCCGCCGTCTGACCCTTTCGTCTCTGGTGTCATCTGGTG